GTTTTCCCTTTTTTTTCTTTTCTTTTCTTTCCTCCCTCTTCTTTTTCTTTTTTCTGCCTCTCGTTGTGGGTTTTTCTTCTTAATGACTTGTGTCCGTACGACCCCTTTCCTCCTCTCACTCTGTGCAAAACAACAAATAAATAAATAAGTGGGTTGGTCACTAGGTGTTACAATATATATATATATATATATATATAGATGTGTATATATATATATATATGTGTGTATGTACCTCTTGCCTCTCTCCCCTCCCTTTTCTGTTGTTTTTTCCCTTTTTGTGTGTGTGTGTCTTCTCTATTCTTGTGTTTGTGTGTTCACTCGACGATGGCCGGGTGAAGTCTTTTTTCCCCCTCCCCACTCAAAGGCCCACAAGCCGCCTGTTTTTCTTTTTTTGTTGTTGTTTTGTTTGTTTTTTTTTATTTTTTTTTGTCGCCTCGCTTCCCCTCACGATGCCGTCGGTCTTCTTTTTTTTTTTTTTTTCCACTCTTTTTTTTCCTCCCGTCCGGCAACTCACCCTTCGTTCTAGCAACGCAAGAAAAAAAGAAACAAACACGGAAGAAAGGGGAAAAAAAAAATTTTTTTTAAGAATTCCCCTCGCTGTTCCTCCTTTGCTTTTCCCCTCCTGCCCTAAAATATAAATAAATAAATAAATATATGGATATGTGAAGTGCGCCCTCCGCCTTTACAGGTGCTGGTGGACCCGCTGCAGACAAGGCTCCTTGAATATACGGCCACCAAACCTGCAGGGCGCCACAAATTCCACAACCGATAATAATAAAATAAAAAATAAAAAAAGAGAATGAAAAAAAGAAAAAATCCACACGCACACACACACAGAGAGAGAGAGAGAAGGAGATGCAAAGAGGGAAAAGAAAGGCGAGCAGCGCCAGAAAAAAACGTATATAAAACACACATACATATATATATATATATAAGAGAAACAAGAGACCGGCTAGAAATCAGACCAGAGCACTGCGTGCCGTTACCGTGAATGGCTCAATTATCGTCCGTATCTGCTCCCTAAACCCGTGCGAATACGCCAGTGAGGGTTCCTCCGCCACTCTCTCTGGCGTCGGCGCAGCTCTCAAATTTTCCGTGTATTCTGCTGGAAGAATAGTTGGTTCTTGCGATCCCGACTTGGACCACGACTGCAGCAGATGCGCGTGCATGCGTGGGGTTCGAAAGGGATTGCAGAGCGCCGCCGATGCCGCCTCGTAAGTTGAGCGGCAAAGCGGCAAAACCGCGTCCAGTGGGATGTCGCCCACTATCGCCAAGATCGTCCGTATACCGGAGGCGGACTGGAAACCGTACGAAGTAAACTTGTGATTTCGCAGGAGCCTGCCAAGAAAACGAACATCCGCACCCGCAGATACCCCAACCACCGTCCTGAGACTACCGGGGCCTTGTCGAGAAGCAATAGAACTCCCCTTTTCCAGCTGTTGTTGCTTTCGCCGCTCACGTAAAATGTCATCGCATCGATCCAGCGAGGAAAACAAAAGAAAATGTAGACGCACAACATCCTCCTCACCAGCATAAAGGTTTGCGCACGTGGCGGCATCCGGGTGCTCAAGTACCTCCCGCGGAGAGGTGAAGGTGCGTATGAACAGCGGGGTAGTGTGACGGCCAAATACCGCCACAGCTGCAATGGCCCATGTCGGGTATTCCGTTTCCGGCATATACTCGTTTTCTACCTTTTTTTTTTTTTTTTCTTCGTGTCTCCTCTTTCTTTCCACCCTTTTAATCGCTATGCTCCCTTCTCACTCCAACTGCTGCCGTGTGCAGCGCCTACACACGCAACATAAAGAAAAAAAAGGACGCATGTAAACAAAATTACAATGCGAAAAAGGGCAAAGCACACACACACACACACACAGAGAGAGAGAGAGAGAAAAAAAAAAAAAAGGGAAGGAGCAGACAATCTCGCGGACCTTTGACACCCAATGCAGCCGACACGGTGGAAATCCCGTCGGCGGGGTAACACGGTTCCGCTAAGGGCGCTGGCAAACTGCGTTCAAAAATGGATTCCGGCCCATTCTGTTTTGTTCTTCTTGTTGCTGTTTCGCTTCAGCTTTCTGCCCTAAAAAAGAAAAAAAAAGAAGGAAATAAAAAAAAAAGGAAATTATAACCAAAAGATGCCATCAGAACATGTGGTGCAAGCGACGCTTTGACCACCCCTCAGGCGTCGGCCAGGTTGCATTTCATGAAACTTCTGCATGGCCCTCTCCACACACAAACACACACACACGCAGAACTAAAACGAGAAAAGGTCCCAAGTCATGGCTTTCTTCTCTCCACCACCCGCACCCTTCTCCCCCCCCCTCCTTTTTTTTGGTTGTTATTTACCAGTCACTCACTGCAGTTTCTTCCATCGCCTCGCAGATATGTATATATATGTATTGTATATACCCGGTGTGGTTCTTCCTCTTCTACTGGGCTGGTCTTAATCCCCTCGGAATCGTTGGAAATCCCTTTGGCTGAACTTTGGCGTTGTTAATTTCCAGCACATCGCCCATCTTCTGATAATCGAATCGACGGCTTTTCTTCCCGTAACTGTCGCGCAGCTGTTCGAGCATTTTCTTCGCCGCCTCCTCGCGGTGCCAGCGGTTTGTTAGCATGAACGTGTGGGCAACGTCGTCCAGATCGCCTGTAGGCACTTGGTCCACGTATGGATCCGCATAGAACCCTTCCCACTTCAGCTGGTCTTCGGCCTCGGCGTCGGAGTTAAACGTCACGGCGTGTGAGAGTGGCCGCTCCACCGACAGCGTGTCCACGCGGTGACTACTAGACGCCAGGTATTCCTCCATATGTGGACTGGTCCGCCTGTACATGTCACGCAAGTAATCCTGAGATAACTTTTCTCCGCTCTCTTTATTTTCGTCGGTTTGAATCATCAACTCCTCGTCATGCTCCTGCTGCCGCTTGTCTTCAGCCCCCTGACGTCGCATCGCATCGTCCTCTAGAAGTTCCTCCCGCTTGCGTCTCTTGGCCTCGTGCTGAACCTCCTCAACGTAACGTACAAAGGCATCCCCATTAAAATTATAGGGGAGAGCAATGAGCCCTTTCGCCCAGTCAACATCCACATCAGGGGCAAGTACAAATGTGATTTCCTTCCAGTCCCATGGGGCCAACGATGAACCGATGCGAAACAATTCCTTCGCCCATTCCAGCCTTTGGGCATATGTGTAGTCGTTATTAAAAGCGTCAATGCCGCCCGGTTCAGCCATCGTTCGAAATTCCTTTAAATGCCACATTGTCGCCTCTAATAGTTGCTTTGAGATCCGGTAAAGGCGTTTATGTAAGGCAAGCTTGGGCTGTAACTTCTTTAGCCATGGGCGCAGCTCCTCGGCGGTGAGTTCGCAACTGATGATCACCACACCATTGGCCCGCATGGCATGCCGTGTCCCAATTTCCAGTGTGAGATCAGTTAAACCATAGCCACGAAGAAGTTCCTTGTTGCGCTGCAGCAGTTGCAACACCAAAATGGCATCCTTATGGCTACAAGATATCAAAATATCGTCCAAGTCAAGTTCGTGACTAATTTCGGAAATGAGTTGTTCCATCGTATTCGCAAAACGCATAGCGGCCTCACGGCAATGTAGGATGGCCTTATCGTTCCGTGCAAGAAAGGCAAGAAACTGTAAAGGGGTGAAGTCCCATGGAATCGTTAAAGTCCCTGCGACCTCGCCAATGTTGAATTCGTTCGATATGATCAGTGGCATAGACTCCCATGCCGGGTACCGAAGCTCCCCAAGATGTTGGCGCAGCGTGTGAAGTGCAGAGGCGGATTGCAAAGGGGACAGTTCACGTGCAAAGAGAATTTGATCCGCCTCCATCAGTTCATCCAACGTTGGTGCCGGGGTGATGCTCCACTGCAACGTCATGCTCTCTGTCGCCTCATCCAAAAGGGACTTAGGCTTCTCCACCTTGCGTCGATGTGGACCGGGGCGCCGCCGCAGTGGTCTTGCCTCCGCACGCTCCGCCGTCGCGTCCTCTGCGCTGGAGATGGACTCTGTGATGCCGTCGATGCATGCTGCCCGCCGCAGCAGGTCCCGCAGGAACTTGTTGACGGATCGTTCCACCGAGCCCCGATGGGCGTCGTCCGGAGTGAAGTTGTCTGCCAGCTCAAACGTGGACTCAATAAGAAACGGCGACGACGATGTCCCTGCCTCAAACCCGCCTTGGGAGAAGGAGGAGGATGGCGCCGCCCTTTGCTGGTTGCCTCCTGGTGCATCCTCACCCACCCCACTGTCGTCGGGTTTCGTGTAGAAGGCCAACGTGATGGATGTCGCCGGGGGCGGGCGTAGCGTGCCGCTCTTAAACGCCTTGGCCCAACTCAGCAACTCATTGAGGCGTGCCACGGAGTTCTCGTTCACCAGCTGTTGGCTGCGGTTGTGGTGAAAAAAATCCGGGTGAACCTTCAGGAAGAAAGAGTGAAGGGCCTTCTTGTACATTTATCTTTCTCTCTCGGTGTGTGTGACGTTGGGAAAGGGATGTGAAGAGCGTCAAAGTGAGACGGCAGCGCACAGAAATGAGAAACAAAAAAAAAAAAAAAAAACGGGAGGAAACACGCCGTGCCGGCGTGGAGATCAAACGTGAAAAGTGGCGAATAGAGATGTGGCATCGAGGGCGTGGCCACCACGGAAGAAAAGAGGTTTAAAGAAAGAGGAGAACCAGCAGGGGAAAAAAAGAAAAAAAGAAAACAAAAAACCAGGAACAAAGCCGTCCGCTCTTCATTTCTTTCGTTTTTGTTTTTTGTCGCTTCCTCGTTTTCTTGGAGGCGTGGATCATCCCACACGGACGGACTGCATCAAAAGCGCTTATTCCACGTTGCTCGCTATAAACAAATACAAAAAACATGAGAAAAGCCGCAGTGGCGCCAGGAATAAAGTGTAATACAGCCACACACACACACACGTTCATACGTGAATTGGGCATGTACGCATTTCGGTAGGCATGTGTGTGTGCGTATAATATATGAAGATATTTGCACCTCATCTCTTCTAATTTGTCCGCGTTGCAGGAAGTGGGCGGGCCACGGCATGGCGATCCTGCTCGGAGATCGTCTGCTGTATCATGTTCACTGCATGCTGCACCACGCCGCGAATCGCGGCAACCGCCTCACGGGCCTTTTTCGTATCACTCACAGTCACTTGAAAAGACACGGATCGCTGCAGGAGCCGCTCCGTGCTTGGCGCCGACAGCACAGAATCGACGGTGTCAACAGACGACGATTTACTTCCAATACTCATGTTTGTCACACTCTGCATTGGTATCAAACTGGCATGTGAAGATGCCATAGACCTCGAGCGAGAATTGAGCATCGACACCGCATGCAGCCTTTCTTCTATTTCCTGCAAGGGCACTCCCAACTCATCCGGGGAATGTGAACGCTCTAATCGGATGCGTATCGCATGCACACGGCCTCCAACGTTGTTGTCAACATCAACACAGCACCGCACCCCAGAGGCCACAGGGTGCACCAACACGAGGGTCTTGTGCGACTTCATGCCAAATCTCGTGCCCCTCAAAAAATATACCACAAGAAATACATCCCACTCCACAGCAATCGTGACGGGCTGTCGGCCCCATTTTCCCTTACAGATGCGCAGCTTGTGCCTCTGGCGCTTATCCAATAAAATCGCACCCTTGGCCATCGCACTGTATGCTAGATATTGTAAACGACGGACTCTCTCCGCAAAGGCCTCCTGTATGTGTGCTGCAGGACTGCTGACATCCTCATTCTTCGTGACCGTCTTCTCGCCCTTGTTGGCGACACTGTTGTGAATGCGTTGGCTGCTGCCACTCTTACCCCCGTGTGGTGTCAACTCTACGCTGCGTCCATCTCCCTCGCGTTGAATGGGCGTCGAAAGAGTCAGAAAGGAAAGGGGGGAACGGCGGGACAAGAGCGTGTTTTCTGCCGTGTGGTGGTCTTTTTTCTCCACAGCATCCTCTTTGCTGTGAATCCCCATCAACGTCTCCTGCAAATGCAGCGGTGATTCATTTAGCCCCTGAACCCCATCCCCGCATTCCAGCAGCCGGTGTGCTTCCTCACCGTCTCCCGTCGCCATCACCTCTTTGGCGCCGCGTTCAGACTCACCCTCAAGGATTCCCCGCGACGGTATCGACATAACAGCAGCAGAATCAGCAGCTGCAGGAGCGACAGTGGCCTCCACATCAACCATACTTGCCGCACCAATCTCCACTAACATAGCGGCCTCATCGCCGTGATAGTAATGGACTAGCGTCCCGATGGAACGGTAACGGTTGGCAATGCGCTCCCGTAAATCCACCGAGGCCTGTCGCTGCAAATACGTTTCCACGGCATGAATGGTGTCGTAATTTGCGTTGCTGCGAAGAAGCTCCAAAAAGCGTGGCAACATCCCCTCATCCCCAACGACGTTTTGCTGTATTCGTTGTGAAATGACGGCGCGACGCTCGCTGGTCACCACCTGTAGCTGCATAGTAGACGACGAAGACCCTTCCCACGTAAAGGACACCGACTCGACAGCCTTCATTGCAGACGCATCATCATAAACATCACCAGAAAAATTTCTGGTATCGTTATCGGCGTTCTTTTGTTCCTTCTCAGTTGCTGGCCGCAGGAACGACAACACATCCGCCTCCAGTAGCCGTCGTGCCTCTTCGCCAACAGAGTCTGGACGATGCAAGAGACGCCAGCCTCGGCACAGGCAGTGACCTTCACGATGCGGAAAAGAAAACAAAAATGTCTTCATTCGGCCAACCACACTCCGCGCCGGTTGATTCATCGCCTCATCCACCCCCACAGTTGTTGCTGATGCAGCATTAGCGCTGGTCGCTGGCCCCGTGTCAAGCTGCACCGTGATTCCCGCAGGAGAAGCCGTTTCCGGTGTTTCTGCCGGCGGTTCCTCTGCGCTCACTGAAGTTGCCTGCGGCCTATCAGCCAATTTAAATAAAGGGGATTCATGAGTTAAGGCGGCACTCGGCATTATTGCCTCCTCCTCTGCCTCTTCGGATTTCTCCCTCAATTCCGTTGTTTGTTTCTGCGACTGAAGCAACTGCGAATCCTCCGCGATTCCCTCAACGGGCTCCTCAGCGAGAGGAAGGGCATCAACGGTGCTGGAGAAGGAAAGCAGTTGGTCCGCCGCATATTCCTCCTCATTGAATGACGCCTGTGATGCCTCACCGCTGCCACCGCTGCTGCCGGCAGCAATGGCCGCTCCAAGTTCAGCCATTAACTCGTCCTCGTTACCGTGCCGCCCGTGCACCAATTCCTCCGCGGTGCATCCCACGTATTCTGGAGGAAGTCTACCATGAGCCGCGTCAAGCATGGCTGCAACCACATCCACAGTGTCCTCCTCGGCTCGCCGAATTGCCGCAATAAGCCTCGGAAAGGCAATTATCCCATTTTCCATGTTTGCGTTATGCTGTAACCGTTCTGCTAGCACGGAGCGACGCTCATTGGAGACAATTTTTAGTCTTGTGATGCCGTACTCCGCATCGTTATCCATGTCTTCCGCCGATGGCACAACAAACGATACGGAACTCAACACCGCGCTTCCCTGTTCTGTATCCAGTGGCTGCAGAAGCGTCCACACATCACGCTCAACACATGCCCGGGCATCTTCGCCAACTGGATCGTTGCGATACAGTAGGCGCCAGCCACGACAGAGTATGTGCCCCATGGGGTGGTAATAGGACATGACAAAGCTCTTCTCACGACGTCCTCTTATCGGTCTCAAAGATGCCGTCTCCATGTCATCGGGGTTACCCAATGCTGGTATCACAGGGTCGGACCGCATGTTCTCCTCCCCTATTCCATTTTTCTGCAACAGTAAATCTTGGATTGGCTCCGGTTTCATCACAGTGGCATCTTTGCTGGCAGTGGCAACAGCGGTAGAACCATCCGTGTTGGTTTCATCCGAGCGCAAATGAGCTGTTGATGCCATCATCATCACTGGACGGTCCGACTCATCCAGAGGCTCACTCAAAAATTGTTTCTGCAAGCGACCGAGCCTCGCGGCAGTGTTCATCCTCCATTTCCCGTCCACAGCGCTGCTTGTGACCTCTACTTTTGATGCTGTCTGCCTCTCACGCCCAACAGCACCGTCACCATACGACACCACTACTGGTGACGCACCATCCTCAGCTTCCTTCAGCCCCAGGATTTTATCTCCGTGCAAAGTAAAAACTTTCGCGGTTTCAGGCAATACACGTGCTCCCTTCTCCCCAGCATCAGTTTCACCAATACCACCACCATTATAATTGTTAATTTCCTCCCTGCTAACACGAGATCTGGTCAAAGCATTCCCCTCCTCCACGTTGCTGTCGCGACCCCTGCTAACGTCCATGGAGGCAAAGAGACAGCCAAATTTAAACGCCTTGGAATTGGGAGAAGAAACCAACGTGAATGATGTTTCTCTCTGCACACCATTCTGTCTGTCTTGTAGCACAGGATGATCATTTGTTCTGGATGACGGTGGTGTTATCCCGCGTCCACCGTTGCAGTAACGCCCATGTGTGGCGGTCGCGACGTCCATTGCCCGCCGGTCATCTCCTTTTGCTAACGTCAAACGAGGCACAACACCGGCTCCTCTACTCGCTGAGGAAACCCCTGTTGGCGGCTGGATATTAAAGACTGAACCACGCTGCATCTCTCCCGCGATGAATTCCGTGGTGGATCCTCCGGCAATAAACGAACTATCATCTACAACCAATGGCGACAAAATGGGGAAACTCCTACGCCGCTGCCCTCCCTCTTTGATTTCTTGTCGCAGCGGTGGCCTGTTCTGTTGATCGGGTGGATGTAACCGATCCGCCGTGCGCTGCGGCATCGATGGTGTCGACGGCATGGAGAAGAGAAACCGCCGCGGGGTCTCTCCGGGTGGGATAGAGCTGACATCGCAGGGGGCCGCCATTTGTGCGCCAAGTGGGGAAATGAACGAAGTACCCACTGGTCCCTCCATCAACGGCCTCACCGCCTTCTGTGGAGACGGCGCTGGTCCAACTTCTCCGAGCTGAAACGCCGGGAATTCCCTATCGAAATCACTCTCATTTACCGCCAACACCTCGCCTTGCTCCCGTTTCCTCCCCATTTTCACGGCTTCCTTTTCTTCCGCTGCTGCTGCTGCTGCTGCTGCTGCTGCTGCTGCTGCTGCTGCTGCTGCTGCTGCTATGTTGTCCCCTTCAGGTCGCCACGAAGAACGGGTGGTATGTGTGCGTGGCAACCCAGTCGAGACCGTCTCCCCGCCGCTTGAGATGCTGAAGGTTGCTGCATGCACAGCACCGAGATAAATGCTCAGCGGCGATGGGAATCTCTTTCCGTCGACAGGATCACGCCGTTGTCTTTCTTCACACCGCTTCTGCACAGCAGCCTCGGCAACCTGCTGAAGCAGCAGAATGGTGTCATTATCATCATGATAAATCCCAGCATTTCCCTGAATCGCCAGGGTTGACAACACAGAAGGGGTCACTGGCCAATCAAGGATAAAGGCATGCATAACCTGCAAACAGCCATTAACTGTCAGGAGGTTATCCGCCATGTCAAGCACCGTGAGGCTAGAAAGAACGCCCGTCGACCCCGAAGAGGATACGGCAATCGCCAAACCTCGCACCGCCACGTCAGTAACTCCCGTACCATTTAGGTACAACTCCTTCAAGTAACAAAATGCGGAAGGAGCCACAGTTTGCCGTCGCTGTGCGTTAAATGCCGCATGTGCGACCAATTCACAAAGAATGCTTCCCACGCACGATTGGCGACCAATCATCACTGCATCTAGCGTAAACTCCGCCACCCCCTCCAACTCCCGCTGCAGGCGCCAATAGGTACGTGGGTCACTCGAAGGTTCTCTCCCATCCATCAGGACCTGCTGCAGCAGCGAAGTTGGCAGTTTCGAAAAGTCAAGGCTCCGTGAGACATCCAACAGGATCAATTTAGGGCAACAAAAAAATATATTTAAAAAAAGTTCGCGGCAGCCAATGGGTGTACACATGATCGATAATGGTACCCTGCAGAGGTTTACAGCTGATAACGCGCATGGGTATTGGAGTTCTTGAAAACTAGAGAATCGATTCGCTGTAGGCGACGGGTTTGTCTCTGAAAGCCCCTCACCTCTGTTTCCTGTTGCCGGCGGTGACATCTCTCTATCCGTACATGTTGATTTGGGAGAAATAAGCGCTGCTGCTAAGGCCCCATTGCCTGCTAACAGAATGGTTTCCAATCTGTGGGCACGACTGGCACCAGCGAGCACCTCCGAAATTCCCCGTGCGGAGCCCTGACAATCTCGCAGGTCCAGGAATGAAATTCCCAAATGAATTTGCGCCTCACCGCAGGCATCATCTTCTTCTTCCTTCGTGTTTCGTCCTCCATTCTCCCCACGCAGCCACTCGTCCGTCGTGGTGTGGGTTGGTCCCTGAAGTACACCGTGCCGCATCCTCACCTCGTGTTCAGACTCTCTCTTCTTCTTTTTGAGAATTGCCGCATACTGCTGCACCAGCGAAGGTGGGAAAAAGTGTTGCTCGTTACGCAGGGACGTGAGCCGCAATTTGGCCAAATAAATCCCCAAGATTTGAAGCCCATAGTCCTGCAAAGGATTCCCCGATAAGTGTAGCTCGTCCAGGGTGTCTGCCACGCAAAGAAGAAGCTTTCCGAGAGGAGCTGCACTGCGGTGTGTTAGATGATTCCCCCTTAAATCCAACACGCTCAGTCCACGCAATTCACGTCTTCCACGCGCCCCCGTAGCCGTCGGTAACGCCCTTGCAGGTTTCTTTCTTCCAGCACTAAATTCACGTGAGGTTGGGGAAGAAGACGCATCGCCAAACATGATAGACTTTGACGCCACACGACCCCCTGACCGTCTTGATAAAAGTGATGATGAGGAAGATAATGGCAGCGCCGTACTGCGGCTCACAGAATCTAAATGGCACTCGCGAATGAGTTCCACGAGTCGTTTGTCTGTGAGTCCCACGTGTGCCAATCCCAAGAAAGTCAGGCTCGACATCGTTGGCAGCACATCCCGACAAAGCCAGCTCCACTCCACACCATCCATCACCGTCGTGCTGAAATCCAGCCGCCGCACGTGAGCGACGGAGGACCGTCTCCGCACCTGACGACGAAGCGATGCCCCATCCATCACAGGTGACATGGACAACGATCCCCCAAGTGTGTTCCGCTCCGCCCTCGTTGAACGGGGAGACGTGGACATGCCGGCATGCAAGAAGGACGCGGAAGCAGCAGTGGAAGCCGTGGCAGGTACACGAGGCTCTGGCGTCGGCACAAAAGAACTCGGTCGTGGCCCCTCGTCGTAATTGTCCTCCTCGTCAATGACACCACCACAAACACCACTAGCAGCAGCAGCAGCAGCGGCAGGGCCAGGCAGTTCCCTTGAAACGTCCCCACGATGACGCTCAACAAGACCAATACCCATCCTAAGGGGCATGATCCTCTTAGGCCTGCGTGCGCCTGCGTGTGTGTGTGTGTGCGTGTGGGCTGCTCCCTAAAAAAAAAAAGGTAAACAAAAATGCCCTTCACCGCCTCCCAAAGAAAAAAAAAAGAACAATTAAAGCAAAGGTGTCCTGCTCACAGACAAAAGAAAACAGGTACCTCCTAAATTCACGCCGCCACGGCACGGCAATCACATACGGTTTCACCCAAACAAAAAACAATGCACACAACAACACCTCCTCGCCAACGGCCAGAAGCCAAAAAAAAAAAAAAAAAGCCTCAGCGTCTCACAACAAAATCCATGACGCACAAATAAAAAATAAAATAATAATAATAATAATAATAATAATAAAGAAGAAGTTAATTAAAACAAAACCAGCTGGAAATAAAACCGTGAAAAGAGAAGAAAAAAAAAAGACAACCAGTAATAAAAAATGCATCCCCGTAAACAAATCAACATCATTATATATATATACTGTCATGCAGATTCTAGAAGCATCGCTGTCAACGGCAACATGGTGAAAAATATCCACCAGAAGCTCAGTAAGTCAAATTGATGCCGTCCATTCCTGTCTAAACAGCGCTTCAGTGCAACTCCCTTTTCCTCCTCCCAATCTTCCTCATGCTCATCAGCCTCTTCGAAATTTTACTCCTCCTTCTCGGGATCGGGTCGCAGGGCAAGGTACGACAGGACCGACGTCAGTGTGCCACGAAAAATAAATAGCACGACCTCAATAGCCCATCAGTTGCCCTTCACGCCGCGTCGGTCAATCGCAAACAGCCACCCGTCTGACAAGGAAAAAAACAATGATGAGCCAGAAACCATCGTCGACGTTTCCTTGACAAATGAATCAGCAGCAACGGTAGTGACGGTGGGGTCCTCGAACTGGCACAACGTGTGCATCACCCTGAAAGGAGGCCGGTACAACGAGTTCGCCCAGGCGTCCAAAAATTAGCGGAGTGTAAGAACCCGACGGGCACGAGGACCGCTCGGGAAGGAGAGGCCCCAATTCCCATACATGCCAGACACCGGTCGGTCCAAAACTCTCGGAGCTGAGAGGTAAAAGAAAGAGCCCAAATCGCATCGCTTCCTCCAATTCTGCCTCCAGCACCACGCACAGTTGACAATTTCACGCGGCGACAGGCCGCAGTCGTCACAGCTCCCAGAAAGGAAGACAATGATATTCCTTCAATGTCCACACTGAGTCCTCAACAAGACAACGTATTTCGTCTCGATCGCCGGGATGCGTGCCTCCACTGGGCCCCCACCAGGGCTACTGCACGTCGCACCGGCCTCATCGTACGAAGCGTGCGGGGTATGCACAATGAACATCTGGGCAGCGGTGCATGTCGGGCAGCGCAGCAGAACGCCGCAGCACGCAAGCCAGTACAGCGCGTGTGTAGACAACAAACTCGCGGTCACAGACGGTGCGCACTCAGGGACTCGCATCTCGTCTCGGCGCCTCAATATAGCTAGTGGTAGCCTCAAATACTTTGGGAACGCAGAGGGAAATGAAGGGAAAAAAAAGGGGGAAAAAACAAATAGAGACAGGAAGAAGGGGAAGACAGCGCATGACAGTGGAGAAATGTCACGGTAAAAACGCAGGTTATATTAAACACCTGAACAAGCATTTGCGCCGTTTTAGAGAAGGTGGATCGGTTGGTTACAAATACCATTAGGTGGCGAGAGACGTGCAAAAACGTTTCAACAAGAATTCGTGCAAGCGTAGATGATGAGAGCAGTTCCTCTTCGTCCCTCACCTTTTTTTTCCCCCCTCTCTCCTCAATTTTTTTTTTTTAAGCGATCATTTGTTGATTGACAGCCATCGTCTCCACGGACAATGGTCGACTAACAAGAGACCCCACCGCACTGCCATCAATGATTCATCTGCGAATGGATGCGTTTATTCCTCGCATTCTGGTGTCGTTGCCGGGTAACTGTTTCGCCTCTTTTTTTTTTTTTTTTTCTTCTTGCTTTTCTCTTTCTTTATTTTTCGTTTATTCTTGCGGCTCATGCACTCTTTTTTTTTTTTTTTTTTCCTTCTTGCTTTTAGTTCGTTAGCGCCTGTGGTTAATTGTCTTCGCCCGTGTGCACGCCTTTAATGCGTCTCCCCTTCCATTGGATCCCAACCCTTTGGTGTTGTGGCTGCCTTTTTATTTTGTTTTTTCTTTTGTTTTTTTCTTTCTTTACGTTCTCTTGGCCCTTCACTCTTCGCCTCGTTGCAGCGAAACGGGCCGCAACGCTCCATATATATACACACACACAAACACTGACAGTCTTGAGACGCTCCGCCTGTGAACTTCCAGACATGTTGACAGGGACGCAGTGTGGGCGGGAGACTAACGACTGGACTTTCGCCGCCACAAAATAAAGGCCGTCATGAACACGCAAAGAACGCTCCCCACCACTGGTGCCACCAGAGCCAACGAGGAGATTTCACCCGGGTTGCTGCGCTTACTTCGAGGGCCGCACTCGGCTAAAATAAAGTGACCATTCCTGGTGTTCGGGACGACATTGGATTTCCCCTTTGCATTCTTGGTGGAGGCAGAAGTCGTCGCTGACCCCACTGCATGGTGCTCCAGGGCATCCCCTGTTGTTTTTTCCTCCACTTTTATGCGGCTGACGACGGGAAGCTCGTACCACAGGTTGGGGTCGTTGTATAGCACGAGGGGAGATGGCTTTTGTTGGATCTCGTGATTAGAAGTCTGAATCAGATATGTAGATGGAGCGCGGTGTAAATCGCGTATGACGATGCGGTAGTTTTCGATTGGTTTAAATATGGTGTCAAATGCGTCAAAAAGAGGGGCTAAGTTGACACGACGGCTCATTGCCTGAATAATTGATATATTTTGCAATGGTTCCAGCTCCTCCACAGCAAGCACTACGTTTGTGATGTCCTTCAGTATATCATCTTCATATATGGCCTCCACACGCATGTTGGGAACCTCGTCTGGGCACAGGTTTAACACCTCCTGCCGGTATTCCTTGCAGTTCACATAGCAGTAAGGCACCGCATAACGTTTCCATACCGGACCATACCCAAAAAGAATGTCGTTTGCGGATTTAAGTTGCTTCAATACCTGAGCAAAGTCGTAATGGAACTCCATCAGGTCGCCAGGGGTAAGATCATGGAAATGCCGCGGTCGGTAGTTCGTGATCAGTGGGGCTACGACAAATTGTGCCACGGCCGTCTGTGGCTGCCCACTTTTCCCAAACCGCTGGTCAACCTTAATGTGTGGAAGAGATGTTTTGCATCGCTCTCGTAGCGGCGCCATAAACGGGGAGACACTGTGCAACAGAGCATTTGCAAAGGCCTCAAAGGCATTCTTTTGAGCCATCTCACGTTTTTGTTGTGCCTTCGTGGGTTTCTTCCACCTCCGGTTGCCCTTCGAGGTGAGCGGGGGAAGTGGTCTACCGTTCTCGTCCAGCTCCGTTACACCCGCTGCGGAGGAGGGGTGGGTGGAGGAGGCTATGGCTGCGGCTGCGGCTGCGGGTGCTGTGCGAGCATGCGCCTCGCCACTGACACTAGCACTCGACTTGGAAAGCAGAGCCGCCGGTGCGTTTACCCACTTGCCGCTCACTAGTGGCCTCACCTCGTCCGTGCCCGGCAGTGCCGGGTACCGGCTGGGGTCCATGGCTGTCACTGCACCTTGTGGTTTTTGTGGTGAGTTCTGCTCAGCGCTGACGTTGTGGCCCGGCTTCGTGTGGCCTCCGTCCAACTTACTGGAGGCATCCCTCTCCCCGTTCATCTGACGCTCAATCAACTCCTTCGTGAGAGCCATGACACGCCCAAATTCCTCCGCCCAGTTCACCCCCTCCAGCTCTATCGCAGCGCCCCCAGCCACCGCCGCCGCCGCACACAACCCCGCACGCGTGAAAGAAGGGTAGTACGACGGGGACGCCATGACGGCGTCAAGAGATTGTTTCTGCTGTTTTTGTTGCTCCTCTTCTTGCGACAACGATGGCACGGCGGCATCATTCTTGTCGGCTGAGACATCGGCGGCCACACCATTCCCTACAGCAGTGTTGCACTCTCTTTCACTCGTGGAGGCCGGAAGCAGAAACGACGCAAGCTCACCAGCCGGGCGCCATTCCTTTGCGTTCGCATTCAAAGACATCCTCCTGTCACCACTCCTGTTCTTCGCTTTGCCTACCTATATAAAACCCCGCCGTTTTCTCCCTCTCAATATATGTGTATGTATGTTTATGTATGTGTTAAATTGACTCTCCCAGACAAATTTGTTCACTCACTCGGACGCCACAACTTTACTCTTCCTTTATTTTATTTATTTATTTATTTTCTTCACCCCTCTGCCCCACCCCTTCTTCTTTTTTTTTTTTTTTTCTCCTCCGTTCTTAGTAATAACAGTCCCTGAGAAGTTGCAAATGAAGGTGAATAGGAATAGTCCTTTCCGCAAGTACAAAGAAATATTAACATGTATATATTTATATACTTATATATTCTACATGACCGCTGAAACTCGTTGGGTGAAAAAGGGTGAAAAGGACAGGGGAGGCGTGAATGGAAAAGTGCCTGCCCACAATGAGAGCTGATTTTGTGCGTCACACAACCGACGCACACATGCACACAGACACAGACGCAGAGTCACCTGCACAGAGTGGTGCGTATTGAAACATAAAAAAAAAAAAAAAAAAAGATGGAGAACGCTGCCGCCGGTGCCTCTCACTGACCATCCATCAGACATGCTTCGTGTCGGACCAGCATGCCGTCCTTCTCTCAGCTGCCTCTGCTCCCTTCCTCCACCTGCCGCGTCGTACAGGCACTCAGGCCTGCACGAAGAAGCTCCGGAATACTGTTGGCATGTAGTTGCCGTACTCCATCACGTGCGGCAGGTCACGATGCCAGCACGTCTTAAAGTGCAGCAGGAGCTGATGATGAAGTAAGTAAAAGCCCACCTCAAAGTCGCTCTTTTCGCTCCATTGAGTGCGAACCGCTTTGCTCCGATTGCCGCCACCGGTTTCGCCCTTTTCCTTGTTGCCGCAGCTGCGTTCCACCACTTCCGCACGTGCATCGCCCACGTGGCGCACCGTAACACCAAACTTCTTTTCGTTGTCCTCCTCTTCTCTACGGATGGTGTCATACAAAACCTCCAGCTGCGGTAGAAAAAACGTGTGATCCTGCTGCAGCAACAACTGCGCCGTAAACTGAATGGAGACAACGGCCAAAAGATACCAGCTATGCTCGCCTGCAGCAATAGCCCTCTTGTTGAAGGCCATCATCTCCTTAAATTCCGCGTTGTGTGTTTGAGCAAAGTGCAAAAACTGCCGCAGGGCCAAGACGCCACCCCCGCGGAAGTCCGTTGCGGGATCGAGCCCTTGGAAGCCAAACTCCACCCACTTATCACTGCGATGGGAGAAGTCGGCAGGCAACTTCCCCGCTGCCGCCCATAACTCCCTGAGCAGGCGCATGTGTTCTGGGTTCTCAGCATCAAATGATGTGGCGCGTTCCATCTTTAAACGGGTAGCTTGTTCGCTGCAGTGACAAAGCTGACACAGCATCTTCCGCACATGCGCATCCTGGAGCTCAGGTGGTATGGCGTCCGGCGGGGCATCCGCCGCCAAGAGACGCTGCAGATATGACAGAAGGACGGGATCAATGAAAATTTTCTTCTCATTGCCAACGCCGCGAAAGAAGTACACCAATTCGCCCAGTGTTGCAATCTCCCCGTGCATGATGTGATGTATCGCCTTCCTCGTTGCCATCTCCGGCTGCTGGCCAGCGACAACGCCGTTGAGCACAGGCGAGCGACGGCCACGGCAGGAGGATGGCAGCAGTTTGCCCAGCTTCCCTCCCCGATGCGCGTGATAAATGAAGACGGCAATCCCGCCCATAGCAACGGCCATAGTGAAAAGACTCACATGGTCCGCCAGAGAATGGAGGAACGATGTCATCTTGCGCGCCTCCCTTTTCGTCCTTTTATTTGTTGTTGTAGTTTTCCTTTTTCTTCTTCTTGACGGATCTCCTGTCCTTTTGCCTCGCTGCTTTATCCAAACGTAAAGGTGGACTCGCACCTGCTGCCGTGAAGAAAAGGGGAAAAAAGAAAGAAAAAAAAGGGAGGAAAATAACCAAATAGAACCGAGTACAGTTCTGGAACCAAAAAAAGAAGAAGAAAAAGAGGTCGGGGTAAAGCAATGGAAACAAGAAAACAAACACACATGGCAGAGATATTGCCATAGGCGTGCGTGTAAGTACAATCCTGTGGCTGCAATGTTAGCCAAATACTTATGTGTGTGAGGGTGTGGGTGTGGGTGTCCATTGAAAGCAAGTCATAACAATAATGTAAATTCCAAATACGCAGTGTATACATTTAGAAATGCGCACTCTACTCCATCTACTTGTCACACACACGACGAAACGACAGCAGCCAGGCAGGAGCCTCATCCATCCATGTTGTGTTCAGGTTTATGGTGGAAATGAAGCCAACACTCGCGTCATGAGGCCCCGTCGTCTCCGTGCACAACCTAAAGAGAGGAAATGATCGTAGCCCAGTAAAGGCACGGAGCAGGAAGACACAAGTCAAAGACTGCCATGCTGATGACGCCATGTGTGGTTTCTGCCACATACGCTCCAGCGAGGCACATAGCTCACAAACGGCAGGCTCTGCAAACCCCAAGCCGCAACAGAACACCACAAGATGAGAAGACAACTTCTTGTTGAAATCACCCGGTGCAGCATCATTTTCTGTCCCGCCGTCTGCAAGAGGAACAAATGTTTCGTTGGAAAGAAGCCCGGGAGTGAAGACATCGGCCTCGCACAACACAACTTTCACATCCTCATCCTCCCTCTGCTGACCCGCACCTCCGCACGGCAGCTTCACGCGCCACCGCTGCCTTGTGGGAGAATACACGAGCGACGCGCTTCCACGCATGGCGCGGCGGGCAATTTGCATTCGTGAGGGCGCCAACTCCACACCCACATGTGCCCAATGAGCCGGCAGCATCGCATCTCGCTGAGCCAACAAGGACCACTCAAACAACAATTTCCCCGTCCCACTCCCAACATCAACCCCCACGACAGCATGACGAGTCGGTTGGTGCGGGCCTTGTGTTCCCTGCTCCTCCACTTTTACTTCTTCACTCTGGGCAACAATGCCACCTCGCTCAAGGCACTGCAGCACGGCACGGTGGAGCTGACGAACTCCCTTTGAAGTGAGTTCCCCGTAGAGCTGCGGCCCAACGCTGGAACCCGTGCCTGAATCCGACACATCGGTGCCAGTCACCACATGTGGGGGGAACACCGCGTGTCCAAAGACCCGTGTATCCTCGGCATTCAGATTGTATCCCTCCTCCAGCCCATTATATACGGCGTTTAACTGCTCTTCAATCGTGTCCAAGAAGCCCGTTCTCTTGGGGGGTTTGAGTGGCCCTTCGAGTCGCATCTTCTCCATAAGCAGCAGCTGTGGGAGCAACTCGGCGGCCTCCGCCCCGTCTCCACTAATACCACCGTCGCCGTCATCGCCAGCATCATGATGGCAACTCGATTCCAGGAAAGCGCAGGCTTCTTCGTAAAGTGCGAGTTTCATCTCAAACACCACCTCGCACTTCGCTTGAGTCGCATAAAACCACGCATTCATCACACCCCTTGCATAAATTAAAAAAAAAAAAAGGAAAAAAAGGAAAAAAGAAAAAGCAGAAGTGCAAAAAAAGAAAAGTCGAATAATCCCCACCGCAGAGCACATCCTCTTGTCGTTTTTGAACATCCGCAAAACTGCGGGTGCGCCTGTCTGCCTGCAAGCAACAAACGTGAGGAAGCTAAGCGTAAATCAAAACAAAGAAAAAAAAAAAAAAAGAGAGAGAGAGAGAGGGAGGTGACGCATTCACATCTCCGCTTCTGTTCTTTCCTTCCACTCATTCCTTCCCTTCACTGCAGGAGTGGGCGGCCAGGTAAAATACAAGGGCATCCGTTTACAATTTATTGATAAAGGGCCCCAAGAAAAAAATAAAAATAAATAAATAAATAAATAATAAAAAAGGAAAAAGTAATATCTGTGTATTTACGACAAATAAATCATAACTCTTCGCGACACGTGCGCGTCCATCATCCTTCATTCTGTATCTTTCATTTGCATGTTCTTTTGTTGGTTTATTTGTCTCTCTGTGAGGCCACTAGCCCCGGCGGTACCGGCGCTGAAACGCCTGAAATCTCGAGGAGGGAACACCGCCGGAAAGATGCGATGAATAACCGCGATGCCAGCCTCGTCCCCTGCCTCTCATGCCCCCTCCCCTCGCTGCAGCAGGCGCCTGATCGGAGAAAATTTGACCGGAATGGGGCTGAAAACCATACGGCTCCCGCATGGCAGCATCCGAACCGTACCGCACAAAATGTCGACCGTCCCGGCCGCGGCTTAAATGCGTGAAAGAATCCCTGGAGTGGGCATAAGGCATCCTTTGGCTTTGATTCATGCCGCGCAGCATCGAGGTGAGGGCCAACACCGCGTTGGGTTCTGCCCTTGAGACCACTGGCGATCGGCATTTCCCCAAAGAAGGCTCTTTTGGCGTTTGAAGAAGCAAAGATCCATCAAAGCACGCCTGATCGGAAGTTTCTGCATATCTGTCGCAGTGGGTTGGTGTCCAGCAGCCGACCGATTCCCCCGTGCGAGTGATGGCTGCACCCGGGAGGCAACCAGGGGCAATAGGGATTTCCCAAACACCTCCCCGTTCTCCTTCTCTCGCTGCTGCAGGCTCAATATACTCCTCCCAAAGCAGATCGCACGGACAGTCGTCGTCCATCCATGCAGTTACGGATTCATCAAGAAATGCATTCACTTGTTTGTCCTCTGGAGGCACGTTGGACGAGGCGAAGAATGTGCGCTGGTCCAAAAAGACATTCATTGGGTCATGATGCGTCTCTCCCCAACTCAGAGGCGGTGGAAATTCATTCCCCTCCTTCAGCTCCCACTCCTCAGCAGATTCTGGTAGATGCGACAAGAAACACTCCTGCGGAGCCCAAGTTGGGGCATCCGAGAGTGTCCATGTATCCGGTTCCCACGGAGAGACGTGAAATGGCGGCGAACACGCCGGCTCCGTCCACGTCTCCTCTGCACTTAACTCACCAAAGCCCGGGCAAGGAAGTTCCAAACCCCTTGGTCCCATTTGGGCTGCCATCGTCGACTCAGCGTGGTTGTATTGACACTCAGGGTGCGCCGCATCACCGAGCGCTAGTGGGTGTTCCCCCGCCCTCGAGTGCCCCACGGCCATGTTGCATGCTGGCTTTTTCCATCCTTCAAGTGCCTCTTGCCGCGGCAGTTTCGCAGAAGAAGAAGCAGCTGCAGCAGCTGCTGCAGCAGCCTTCAATGACCACTCCAGTGCCATACAATCCACCCCACCCACTCGGCCTTCTCTTCTTGCCGAGGAAGGGGACCGCCTACCGCCACTCTCAGACGATGATGCCACAGTAGCATCTCTGTTGGTATGAGACCTTCTGGGGAAGCCTTTTGGTTCATTCCTGTTGTCCGAGTAAAACGGGTGTCGCGAACGCCACTCATGCGATGTTGTCGGATGGCGATGATGAATGTTACGGGAACGACTGTCGTGGATGTCATTGTCAGCGCCACGAAAACCGGTACTGTAATTTCCAGAGGGTTGCCAAAAAGACGCTCGGGCCTTGCTGCCACCTGTCCAGCGGAGCATCGCACTGCACCTTGACCGCAGTCCTAGTCCACCGCCCTTCGTATCCCCCGCAATCACGTTTCTCTTCTGTTCGCCTCCCCGTGAGTCTTTTGATTGCGCCCACCTCTTTTCTTCACAGTGGCCACAAAAAAAAAAAAAAAAAGGGAAGCGGGAGAAGGAAGAAAACAAAAGAAAAAAGAAAAAAAAAGGGCAGTTTATACATGCGTTTTTCCTCTCGCTCTTCCTCTCCCCCTGTGCACGTTCATTCACACGGAAATAAAACACATGACGCCAAATAAACAGACCAGAGGCAAAGCACACAGCCGCCACAGCGACCCAACAACACATAACTGCAAGATATTTCCGCACATGTCAGTCCAAACGGGTAGACCGAAGACACACATAAAAACACAGATATGTTGTATACATGTATACAACGACGATAAATGGAATTATACATCGCCGTCCTGGTCGTCTAGAATTGGCGTCGTTTAAGGCAACGCTTCTGCAATGAAGGGAGTCGTACTGTGCGGCCGGCCCTTCTCCGTCATCAAGATCAAAACACGATTCACATCAACAGAAATCGTGACGCAAGAAACCACAAACGAAGCCCAAACTAAAAGAATTATGACGGTGACGTAATCGTTGTGTCGGATTGTCCATTTGGCGTTCATCCGGAGAATGTTTGCACGACAATCATCCATGCATGCATGCATGCACACATAGAGAGAGAAAAAGAGAGAGCGAAAGGGAAGGAAATAGAGGGGGGGAGACTTGTAAGCACGTCTATTATTCCCCACCAGCAGCCTCACATCATCTCCGGATCGACCTGTAAAAAACACCGTGTCCTTTTTTTTTTTCTTTTTTTTTTTTCTTTTGAGTAGTTTTTTGGCGATGAGGAATTGGGGAGGGGGCACGCGTTGAGAGAAGATCCGCCAAAAAGAAAAAAAAAAAAAAACTTGCAACAACAAAGAGGGAAAATACACAATAAATGAGAGCTGGGCAAGGCAGCACCCCCATTTACTATTAAACCCCACAAGGGGAGAAGAGGAAGAGGAAAAAAAGAAAAGGAAAAAAGGAATAGATTGAGAACTCAAAGAGAGACCAAAAAAAAAAACACGCAGCCATATGTAAATATAAATATATGTGGAAATAATTGGGTCTGACACACACGCCGCGGTCAGACGAATATGTAGATTCATTCCCCCTCCCCTCCACGCCCCCAGTGTGACGGAGAGAGCAAACCCAAAGCGGGGGGGAAATAAAAATAGTAATAAAAGGGGTTGCTGTGTGATGAAAACAAGTCTCATGTGTAGGGGAGAAAGAAATACAGAGAGAAACAAACAGACAGAAAGAGAGAGGGAGAAATTTTCTTTTTATTATTTTTATTAATATTATTATTATTATTATTTTCCTTCATATATTTATTATTACAAGAGGGGTGGGGGTGGGTGGGGGGTGTGGAAGTACACATCTATTAAATATATACATACATATATAGACAGATAGATAGATAGATATGTAACTTCCTTCTCTCTCTCTCTCTCTCTGTGGGTGTGTGTGTTGATGTTTCCTTCCACAGTTTTGTTTTTTGTTTCCTTTGCTTTTCAATTAACTCTCCTTTTTGTTTTGTTTTTTTGTTGTTGTCGTTGCCTTTTTTTCTTTTTTTTTTTTTTTTTTTTTTTTTTTTTTTTCTTCTGTGTGTGTGTGTGTGTGTGTGTCTTTTGTTTTTGTTTCTTTTTCTCTACACAACCGCCCTCTGCATACATGCATACACATATATAAGTATGTACATATATATATATATACAGGCCTCATGTAGAGTCTCTGCTTCTTCCTTGTTTTTTTTTTTTTTTTGTTTTGTTTTTTGCGTGCGTCGTCGCCATTTCTCTGCTCCTCCTGCGCCGGGCGAAGGCGGCGGGAGAAAAAACAAGCAGGAAGAAATAAAATAAAAATAAAAATAAATAAAAAAGGAAAATGAGGGGGAAAAAAAAGGGAAACAAAACAAACACAAATAAACACAAATAAACAATTTAGTTGGAAACACAATTGGGGGAAAAGGGGAGGAGAATGGGGGAAAAGGGAAAAAAAAAGGAAAACCGTCAAAATTTTGTTTCTTCCATTGGCCCAGTCGGTGGGACACAAAAATGCTCTTCGGCTCGTTGCTTTTCCTTCTCTTTTTTTTTCCCCTCCCCCGGGGTCCCGCCCCTCCTCCTCCTCCTCGCCTCATTTCTCATGCATCAAAAACCACAGAGAAGGAAACACAAACACACACACACACATATATATATATAAAGAGAGAGAGAGAGATTTATATAGAGATGTATGTTTGTATATCTACATGGACGACTTCTCTTGTATCGTCCCTCGAGTGATGGTGCCGCCCACTTTTTTTTTTTTTTTGTTTTTTTGTTTTTTGTTGTTTTCTTTGGATGGAGAGGAAAGAGGGGCCTTTCGTCATAATCTCCTCCTCCCCTTTTTTTTTGTGTGTGTGTCTCTGTTTCGCCCTCCCCTCCATCTCCCTCTCCCTGTCTCCACACACGCCCACACGCCTTCCCTTCATAAGAATACACGGCAGTTGTGGATTCCTCCTTGTTTGTTCCTTTCATTCATTCCCCCTCCTCTCTCTCTCTCTCTCTTTCAAGCGTAACGTTCAGCGTAGTTCAGCAACGGACCATCAAATTGGACCCATTGATAAAAGTCCGGCAGACCCTCCACAATGGCGCTGACATCCATACCCGCGGCAGTTGGCGAAGAAATCGGTGAGCCATTGTGATCAATGCTCTCCTGCCCAACAACTGGTGTCGTAGAAGTCATTCCAGCATCGGCATTGGCACTCTCCCGATAGTGTCGATACCCTCTTGCCCCCTCAACCAAAAGTCTTTTTCCAGATGGTATCTTTTGTGTTCGTGTTAAGAATAACCGCGCCCCTATAGAAGTGGAAGAAGCACTAACAGTACTAGTCGTAGTAGTCGTCGTATCTCCTCGTAAACGAGTTAATGACACCTCCACTTCATCCTGGGAAGCATCTAAGTTCTTGTCAACGGCATAAAGTCCCTTCTTTCGCATAGCTTGTCGGCAAAACCCCTCCAGCGCATTCCATGACATCAGCTGTAACGCAGCGGTGAGAAGGAATAGCGGGGCTCGATAGCGACGAAGAGAAGAAGTGCCGCTGTTGTTTGGATTCCGTCCAGCGTTAGATTCTGGTGAGTTAAGACGTGGGCACGGCAAAAACCAGACATCAGCGCGACATCGACTAGGAATAATTCCCACAACAGGAATACGTACCGTGCCATGATATGTAGAGCCCTTCTCTGACGGAGGTGAAAAAAAAACATGCTGTGAATTCCGAAAAACTTCATTTGCGGAAGCCTTTGCACAGGATCGTCCAGACGGAGAGAACTTTGTATCATGGCTCCCCATACTGGCGCTTGAGGTCTCCATGACAGTCTGCGTCTCTCCACTACTGCCAGTTGATGCAAAAGGGGCCTTCTCAAGAAGTGGCATGCATACAGCTCGCATCGCATTGTCGTTGTTACCCTCACACGGTGAAGGGGATACCAAAGAAGACAATGGTAATGACATCGGCGTTGAAATATTTGACGTCCACATTTCCCAATGAACGCCTTCTCGATCACAACGGAATACAGGGGACATCCAGTCGCCGTTCATCATCGTCACAACACTTGATGCTCGGTTCCCTGCCACATGACGTGGCGGTCGCAGTGCATAATAAACGATAAAACTCCCACAGCCATGTTTGGCCGTATGGCATTGGTCATACACTGGTTGCCAGAGAACGGCAAACCATGACTGGTTATCGAGCTCCGTCGTATTTGCGCTAAGAAGAACGGAATACCGTTCATTGGATGCAGCCAGTTCATGCACCTGCTCCAGAAGGAGACTACGTTGGTCTGGTCGTTCCGTTGCCCCCCATGTTAAAAGCCCAATTTCTGCATCGTGTGATACCTCTTCCATATTCTCTTGTGTAGCCCCATGCAACGTGGAAGATGTTGGTGCCACAGAAGATGAACCCGAGTTACTCCGATTCTTTTCTTCGGCACTCACCTCGAGATTGGCAGCAAATCCACCGTCATAAAAAGAAGATTGCATGTGAGTTGTTCGCTTTGCTGTGCCTGGATGAGAAGCAATGGAGGAAGTAACATCTGTACTCTGATGTATAGACTTTAGCTTTGCGTATGTCGCAGATTTTTCAAGAAATCGAAGCCTAAATCCACTAAAAAACGGAACGTACACTACATGTTTTTGAGGAGGACGCATTGGTGCCAAAGAAGCAGGCTCCGCAAAAGGAATCCTGCAGGCAAAGGGGAAGTCCAAGGCCTTCCATATATTTGCAAGTGAGATGGAAGGCTCCCTATACGTTTGTGGCGGTGCGTCACCTCCTACTTCCTCTTGCCCAGGCGGCACAGTAACCCCTGAGAAAGGGGAAACCCATTCCAACTCCTGGTCCATTTCCACCACAGGAGAGACAGCATAAATAAATGAAACAATATTTCCATAGGACGATGAATCAAACGGCAATTCTGTATCTCTCTCCTCAAATAAAACTTCCTGCGCCCCACAGTGTTCATATAATGGCGCCTGAAGAATATTTTGGCAGACAGTTGCCGAATTAATTGGTGTACCCCTTAGAATGGCATTAGAAGCAGACTCTCCATCGGCATATCCTTCTCCTTTCGAACCGAGTGGAGCCAATACACTGTTGTTCAGAGGCAAAGAATTTTGCCGCATTAAATCAGGCATGGTTGTTTGCTGGCTTCCAGCAGCAGCAGCAGCAGCACCACCACCACAAGAGTCCATCGTAATTGATGCCCCATTCAAGGGAATCCTGTTATTGGCATTTATCCGGTTGACTCCTGATGCCTGGGTTGTGGATGGGCATTGAAAGGAAGCAGAATTTGGCGTCATTGCATTGAAAGACCGCGACCGTTGGTGCGCTGTGGAAGCGCCGTATGCATTCAATGATCCTGTCGACAGTGTCTGTGACTGTAAAAGAAAAGAATCATGATAATGATGTTTGTGTTGCTGTTGTTGCTGTTGAGAATAACAATGATGATACTGGTGATGTAGAGCCCGCATAGAGTCCGTCGACGCAAACACGGGAGAGATTTGATTCGCCTCAAACGGTTCCCCGCGAGGATGCCCCTCAGCCATATTGCGCTGCCACCCGTTGCCAAGCACTCCCTCAGCACTTTCAGACGCTCTTATTTCCTCCTCATGCTCCAATGGCTCTTGTGGAATCCCTACGGAGGATTTGGGGTTATTTTCTCTTTTATGAGGTGCGGTGCGCAAAATAGAGAGATCCTCCTTGGGCTCACTAATCAGTCCATTCGTGCAACACGTTTTTTGTGGGATGAAACTTTGATTGCCCTGCCCACGCTGAGTCATGATGGCATCATGGTATGAAGGGAGCGAAGCACGTCGTGTCGTATCCGCTGTGTTCTGCAAAGGCGTCACAGAAATCCGGGAAAAAGAGGGAATAAAGCCCAAAATGTTTTCCGAGGAAGTGAATGTGACTGCCTCGCCCCTACCGGCTCCGGGACCCCAACCGCTTTTGACGCTACTGCTACCGTTAACATCATCAAACCTCGTTGTACTCGTTTGGATATGACCTCCGGCGTGGTCCCGCCTGCATCTTCTACTGGTCGTGCTGTCAGACTCGACAAGCGGCTGATGTTCATGCACTATTTTCGGGCTGCAGGGTTCACTACCATCACTTAAAGGAGGCCCCTCAGCCGCGTGATCACGTGGTAAGCTACTCGTCTCCTCTCTCCCTCCCTCCTCCTTCTCCTCCTCTTTATCCGGAGTGGCTGGAGCCGCGTGGCGTACCGGCTTCAGCGCCTCCGTGGTTGGAACCCCATTCTTCTCCGTGATCGAATTCGCCAAGTCACATACCGTAGATAGTGAGGGATCCATCCCCGTGTTTTGTTGTTGCTGCTGCTTCTGTATTTGTTGTTTTTTTTGATGATGATGATGATGAAACATGTACTGATGCTGGGCGTAATGATGTTGACTCTGATTTTGGTAGTAAGGCTGGCTGTTCTGATTGCAGTAATGATGATGATGATGATAATAATTATGTTGATTATGTTGATAATTGTATTGGTGACCTGAAACAGCAGCAGCGGCGGCGACGGCAGAATGTGCAGAAGCACCGTAATACATCGATCCAGAAGACCACGCTTGCGGAATTGGTTGGCCAAAAGCTCCACAACTGAAATATGAAAAAGGAGCAACGGGGATACTACTGTAACCGTATGGATACATACTGCCTCCTGCCGCATCGTGGCTGCATGAATTTGGCCACTGCGTCGGAGTGTCGTTCGTGCTACTATTCATATTCCTCACTTCCTGCACCTGCTGCGTCCCCCTTCCACAGTCTTTCGCAATGACTCCGCTAGATGGCCACGTCTTTAAAGATCCATAGCAGCAAATGCTATTCACACGCCCCTGCTGTGCAGCTTCACTACGAGACACCACAGGCACCAAAGATGCCGTCGGCGCTGCAGCCATTGCCGTTGCAGGGGGCGTTTTACTGCTGTTTACTGGCGGTGGTGGCGGTGGTGGTGGAAGTGAATACATCTCACTGGACGCTGCAGGTTGCACCCATCGCAGTTGCTTCTCAGTGGTGCGCTGCGGCTGGCCGCTCTCTCGCAGCAACGGAGCAGCTCCATGCAACTTATTCCCGTGGCGTGTTTCCGCATTTTTGCTGTTTTCACCTCTGCCGTACCCCGCGACTGCAACGCACTGGTGGCTAACGCTGTTTATGCGGCTGTAGAAGTCACACCCAACCGGCGCGTGAGACGCTAAAGGCAGAGATGCCATTTCCCCCTCACACGCGTTGGCCCGCATGTAAATCTATCAAGAAAAGGAAGAAAGGAAGAAAGAGAAAAAGAATGAAGAAAAGGGCATTGGTAGGAGAATGCCAATAAACGGAATAAAGAAAAAAAAAAAAGATAATTAGGGACGGTAGAAAATTGAAAAAACGGCGTAAAGACACATGCAAACACAAACACACAAACTCACATGGCACTTGACTTTTCTTTCCCCATGAAATATATATTATATATATTGTGTGTGTGTGTTTCTTCTTCTTTTCTTCTTCTTTTCCCCTTTTCTTCTGCCTGATTTTTTCGTTTTTTTTTTTTTTTTTTTTTTTTTTTTTTGCCTTTCATGCCAATAGGCAACCACGCCGCGCATTCCGCTCATGTACATGCAGGAAGGGTGGGGAGGAGAAACGGCAGGTGACGGCAAACACACGCACACACACTGAGAGCGAGAGCGAAAGGGAGAGAAAAAGGAAAAAAGAAAAAGAAAAAGAAAGAAAACAGCAATTTTGTGCGTCCGCCGCACATCCCCTCACCACCACAAACCCGCATTCGTTTGCTTCCTTTCCCTTCGATAAATTCCCCGCCCGCGCGTGTGTGTGGGGGAGAGGGGAGAGGGAGGCCCATCCATTATTAGGAATGTTGACTGAGGCCTGTGTACTCTTCGCAACATACATTCCACGTACCGCACCACCACACAAGCACGCATACATTACCGTACAAGAAAATAGATAACACCAAGCCACAGGTGCGGACACAACACCACTCACGCACTCCCTCACTCACTCATTCACCTCCCTCCCTTCCGTGTTTGATCATGACAACACGGGAAGAGACGGAAAAAAGAGAGAGTGAGAGAGAAAGAAGCATCAACGACCACACAAGTAGAGAACAATGAATAATAATAATAATAAAGGCCATAAAACAAGCAAAAATCTTCATTGTCAGTGGCATGTGAAGAAGGGGTAATGGGGGGAGGGCTTTTTTTTTTTTTTTTCCTTTTTTCCTCCTCTTTTCATGTTCCTTTCTTTCTTTGTTGTTGTGTTTTGTTTTTTCTCTCATCTCTTTTTTCTTTTTTCTTTTTTTTTTTTTTTTTTTTTCGTTTTGCTTCATGATCCCCTTAACTTAGTGCATACAGCACCTCCAACACGGATTGAGCTAAATGCTTCACTTCCCTTGATGTCTCATTTTTATTCACCAACGGCCCAACGATACTCTCAATTTGACGAAGCTTATCGTAGTAAAACTGTCTCTCATTCCTCACCCTTATGAGCATCTCAGACGCCGTCGCGCTGTCGTCACTCCCCCATTCACTCATCGACTGCGAGCCATGGCGAGAATGCGCCGGCGTCTCGGTCTCCACCACCTGAATCAACGCCGTATGTGCGTTGTGCGAGGCACTCAAGGACGGTGATTTAGGCCCACGGTTTGGGGCCGTCAACCGTTTTTTCCCCGCCATGGGGGAGACAAAGCGACCGTTGGTGTCCGTGTTTCTGCAGTCCAGAAGAGGGCGGGTGACGCTACTCTTACGTGATGCATAAAGCGTGTTGGTGTTATTGGTGGTGTTGGTGGTGGTGGAATTTGCTGCCACGGCCTGCAGAGAGTCTGCACCGTTGGGGCGTGCAAGACTCTTTTCTTTGCCGCCCATTCTGCCACTCGGTCCCGCGACCGGGTCTCGCCCGGCCTCCAGGCGTTTTGTGCCGTTACTATTTCGCAACATCGACGACACGGGGCGTGTGATCGCTGCACCATCCCCTGCTCTGCGTAAGGGGGTTCGTGCGGTGCTCGCATGTCGATCCTTCGACGCCGACAATGACCGCACTGTGGTGTCGTGGCGACCAGTGGAGACACGACCTGCTCTCCCCTGCGATGCCTGCCTCCCCGCGACGGAAGGACGAGAGTCTGAAGAACTCAACGGATCATGAAAGGAAGTTGCCGTCTTTGTTGTCAATGGAACGGGTTTGGAAGCGCTTTCTTGGCTGTGTGCGGAGGGGGGCAGCGAGGACGCGCCTACCCGAACCGATGTAGCCCTACACGACCTCAATGAATTTTCCTTTACGACAGCGACTGCAGTTGATGTCTTGTCAACTTCTATTGGCTGGCTTTCGTGGTCTTTCGGCAGATGCGTGCTCCCTGTTCGGCCGCACGCTCCCGCGGTGCCGTGTTCCAGTGACTTTCCCGATGAATGATTCCGCGCCTGTCCTTCCCCCCTACTCTGTGAAAGCGCGTCGTAGAGACCGCGAAACCACTGCAGCAGCTGCAGGTTCGCCTGGTAGGCCCCTTTGATAATCTTGTCCGACTCCTCGGTCAGCAGACCGGGTCGCGGAATGCCATTCTTCTGCAGGGCATCCGTAAAAAGCTTTAAGTTTACCACGGCGTCAAACTCGTGCTTGGCGTTTGTCTTGGCTTTCGTCGTGAGCGGCGGGTACGACGTTGGCAGCAGTGAAGGAAGAAGCAGCACATACGGTACACAGTTGCCGCACTGCTCCACTTTATGCAGCCGCGGAAGGGAGTGTCCACCGGCAGCGGCGTTTCTCTGGAGCAACTCATTCAACCACGCCAGGAGTTCCGTACGGGATTCCTTCGACGACACAACTTGCAGCGACGCGGGCATGCGACCGTGGTCCATGACCAATGTGCTGCACTTCCGGCTAAGCCTCACGGCAAAAGAGGAAAAAAAAGCGAGAGAAAAGGTCACCGGATAAAAAAAAGAAAGGGGAGCGTAAAATGATGGTCATTTTAACAGGCATTTGTAGTACGTGATGCCCACCACTTCATTCATCCATGCATAAACTTTTTTTTTTTGAGTTTTCCTTTCGTCTTTGTTTGTTTTTTTGTTTTACCCGCCCCGCCCTCCCTCCAGTAATAAACAACTCCGCCGTGTGGCTCTTTGCCGGCACCAACGCCAAAACGTTCCTACCACCACCCACCCACATCACTGCCCATAATCCTCACGCTCGTGTGCGTAACAGGCACACGCCAGTGGACCGCTACAGTCACAGTGAAGCGTAAGGGAGAAAATAAAGGGAGGAAAAAAGAACCGTCTCATGGGCATGCGTCCACCTTCGCTTCCTGCACAAGTTCTTTGGGGTGGCGACGCGCAACGTGTGCCAACCACCGTGTGCGAGAAGCAAAGGTTGCCATGCAGTCATCATATGGGCAAGTGACGGTTATGTCGGTCTGCGATTGTCCGTAAGTGGCTGGCGGCAATAAAACCTCCGCCGCACGAAGTGCGGTTGAATGCACCTCCTCCGAAAAAAACGCACCCACTCCCTCGTGTCGCGGTCGGCCTTTGAAGCGTTCTGCGGATCCGCCACGGCGCTTTGAAAGAATACGGCGACTACGTTTGGTTACTGACCGCGGTCCAAGTCGCACCACCCCCTCATCCCCCCCGTCAACGTCATCCCCACTCTCGGACGCAAACGCATCCTCGCGAAAGGGGCAGTAGCACCTCAGGTGGCGTTTGACTTGCTGGCGACTAGAGAGCTCCTGCTCGCAGTTGGGGCACAAGAAGATTGTATCGGCCGGATCGTCTGTCTGCTCCGCAGAAGATGTCGCTACATTCGATGCAGAAGGCTTCAGGGACAAATGCTTGGGGAGCACCCTCGGTGGGTATGGTCTTGAAGAGCAACGGCGCTCGTGAATTGTCCGCGACCCCTTGCACGACAACTCCGTGCCGCAGAAGCGACAAGCAAAACCGACCGTCGCCGGTGAGGCCCCTGCTTCCGTCCCCGCTGCGGCATTCCCAACGGCACTTGCGTCACTCGGTTCAAAGTGTGTCTCGTGCCCCGAAGACGCCGCGGTGGTTGGGGTCGACCATGTCGTGATCAGCTCCGGGTGAAGTCGCAAAACGTGTCGGCGTCGGTTGGTGCTGGTTGTAAACTGCGCGAGGCAGAACTCGCACTGGTATGGCCGCTCCTTCGTGTGCGTGAGAAGGTGGCGGTTGTAGTTGGTGCGGATGCTCCTGCTCGGCACACCGGTGATGACGCGAGGGCAGTGCGGGCACTGCAGCGAGACGACCCGATCCCCTTGTCTCTTTGCAGGGCGTGACGATGACGCCTGCAACTGCCGCGTCGGCAACGTGGATGCTGACATGGACGCCGCCTCATCACTGCCGCCCATCCCCTGACGCCTACAGACCCACACACAAACGCACACGTAGTTAATTGTCTGTTCCTCCTTTCCCACCGGTAGCAACACTGTACGACGGTGACGACAGTCAACAATGAGAGCAAAAGGCAAAAATAATAAAAAATAAAATTTTTAATTACACCAAGGAAAGAAAAGGTGAGAAAATTATCGTCAAAGCGATGGCACCTTTTATTTTTTGTGTGTGTTTCCCTCGCGCAGAAACCGCAGAGCTAACTTCGATAATGACATGCGGGAGGAAGAAAAGAGTGGATAGAAGCAACAGTTATTCACGGTAGCAAAAAAAAACAAAGAACACGCGCCTCAACTCTTCGGCCAGTTGGACAGAATACCCGCCGCAGTGTGCATGAGAGAAATGGCGGGGGCACGTGAACCTCCCCTCCACTCAATTCGCACCGCAACACGCGCAGAACAAAAAAAAAAAACACGAGGCCGTTAGCAAATATCAAAAACAGGACAAATAGAGGCAGTGATGCGGTCAGACCTTCTTTTGTCTTTTCACCTCCTACGCCCTTTCACGCTTTAGTGAAGTCCCCTGCACGGATTCCACGCGCTGCAGCTGCCTCGCCGGAATTGCCGCCTGCTCGTGCCGCAGCAGCCACACTTTGCGCCACAGGCCGGGGCCAAACCCAGTTAACGCCCGCGACGCCCCAACGACGCGGTGACACGGCAGAAAGAGGCACACATGATTCTCACGCATCGCCCGCCCCACCGCCCGACTGGCACTCGGTCGTTGACATCGCTTCGCAAGTGCGCCGTAGGTCGTGATCTCACCCAATCGCACCTCACGAAGCGCCGCCCACGCAGCCTGCGTCAATGACGTCGACGGCGGGTACCGAATGGGAACGCCATCCAAAAGTGCGTGCAGTTTTTGCTGGCAAAAAGAAACGGACGCATCACGGCCGCCCCCGCTCATGGGGGGGAAGGAATAACTGAAGTATCGCCGCAATTGCCGCACTGCGTACGCACGGGCATCACTCGTCTCACTGTCGTCACCGTCCTCTTCTTCTTCCTCCTCCTCTTTTGCGGTCGCCGCGGCTTCCTCGATCAAAATCTCACGCGGCTGATAAGCCCGCCGTAGTCGGCAGACTGCCTCCTCCTCGCAGTCCGTCCAGTTGCACAGACACACCGCACCCTCCTCATCAACAAGCACAACACACTCACCAATCGGCGTCGGTGTCGTGTAGCGGTACACACGCAGAGGCGGGACCCCCACCACCGAAGTGGTGGCATTGCCGAAGCGCAGTGATGGCGTGGACATTTGACACTCAAACTCTTTTACAGTAATGAAGGCTGAAAAAAGAAAAAAGGACAGTCGCCATGACATCCGAGCAAAGAGACAGAATAACAGACATTCGGCATGCAAGAGGGAGTAAAAAAAAAAAAAAAAGGAAAAAAAAGACAAAAAGTCTCCAATAAAAAAAAGGGAAAATAAAATGGACGCGTTTTAAAAAATCACATCATCCGCTTGCGTGCATTCCCGTCCTAATTGTTTGGCGGGGAGGGGGGAGAAGGAGAAAAGCAGAGAATCAGAAATGGCCTTTTTATATTTTATTATTTATTATTTTTATTTTGATCGTTTTGATGTTTGTTTGTCTCTTCCTTATTTATTATTGTGACGCTTTATTTCTTCTTCTTCTTCTTCCCTTCCCTCTCTCCCTCTCACTGGGCCTCCACTACACTAATTGCTCATGCCGCCTACTATTCGCAGGACTCCTCCCCTCTGTGGAACTCAGGGTGCCCAAAAACAAGCCGCATAGAAAGAGAAAAACGTGCCCGGCTACGAGCTCATGGCGTACAGCACGTCCTGCCCCGTGATCGCCGACAGATTGTTGCAGAGTGTTCTTGCCTGTTCGACAACATCATCATCGCGGTCTTCAGTCATCTCCACAACGGCGGGCAACATCTCAGCCATCAACCGCGCTGCCAACTCGTCCCCGCCATCGGCGTAAATACCGTCGAGACACAAAAGTGTCATGCGTCGCACATGACGGCTCGGGTGACGCAGTGCCTTCAGCAACTCGTTCTGCGTCCTGCTCTGCAGTTTGGACGATGTGAGGGACTGAAACAGGGCCCGCACGGCGGGGACGACATGGTGCTCGGCACGGAAGGCATAGTCGTGTGTGGCGTCCGCCAAGTACGACAGGTTTGATAACTGCCGCACCACTGCCGGCATGACGGAAGTAAACACCTCCGGCGTCTCCAAGTAGTTGTCCATAGGCACGCTGTGGTCATGATCAGGCCCAGCCGTCTGCGCGAGCGCCATTCGACGCACGCAATCCAGCGCTCCTTCTAGTGTCAGTGCAATGAGACCCGCCGCGTGTTGCATGGCGTGTTGCGTGGCGGAGCAGTATCCTGTCAGTGTCCCAACAACATACGGCAGCAGAACAGGAAAACCAAAATCCATGATGGACCCCAGTTTCTCCAACATGTGGTTGCATAGAGCGTAAAAAAGCACCCAACCGTGAACGGTTGTGCGGGGCACCAACGCTGTGTCATCCCTTTCACGCGTGTCTCCTTCAGCCTCCATTTCATCCTTCTGTTGTTGTTGTTTTTCTACACGATTGAGAAAATGTTCGGCGGCACCGCCAAACGCCCACTCGGCAACGGTCGAGAGGTACCGTACGCACTGCTTTGCCTTAAACTTGAGGAAAAATGCCATGTAGGCCTCCAGCACCGGCTGCACAATGTCACCTGACGGAAGTGACGGCGCAGTGGCGAGTGCGTGAAGAGAGGCAAGCCAAAAGTTCTCTTTGATCGTTGCCCCATCGACGAGCACATGGAGGTGCATAAGCTCCTCCCGCTTCAGACCTTCCACACGTCGCCGCACGCTGGTGTAAAA